CACACACACACACACACACACACACACACACACACGAGAGAGAGAGACGACGACGACGACACGACACACACACACACACACACACACACACACACACACACACACACACACACACACACACACACACACACACACACACACACACACACACACACACACACACACCTTCAGTCTGCCGTTGCGTGACTTTGCGTCGACGATCCACGGTCGGTGCCGACTGACGGAGTAGGGCGACGGCTGCTCAGCTCTATGGCGCTCCCGCAGCGGTCGGCCGCCCGCTTGCATCTGATTATCGCTGATGGCGGGCCGCGGGCCCAGTCTGCCACGCAGCGAATGCTTGTCCTGCGGAAGCCTGCTGGCGCTTCTGCAACGCGACAAGAACCAAAGGAGTCGGCGGGGACGGTCTAGGCGAAGGAGCACAGCGTAGCGTTAAACTTATGTTAGCGGACATCTCTTTAGAACGAGTATCTGTACATAGAGGATAATCTTGGTGTTTCTCGCAAAGTGACCCTTATTATACAGGTTTCGCCGTGTACCTTGTGCAAATTTAATGCGCGGTCCTAAGAGATTTTCAATCGGGCGCGATAGCAAATAAAAAATTGACAACGTGGAGCCGTATATATATGTGTGGTGCGAGCTAAACCCTAGAACACGATGAATGGGCAACACACGGATGACGAGCGTTTCCAGGTTGGATGTATATTGTTGTTTGTGTTGTACCTGGTTACTCCCGGCTGCCATACAGTATATGTAATACAGAGCGCAGAATCGCATAGAGAGTATCTGCAGAATTGCGTAATGCTTCATAAGCACGTTCCCCCGCCTACCTGTGTTATTGACGTCATCGGCGCACGCGGTACAGCGGACATGGCGCGCGCGTGCGAACAGTAATTAATTACGGCATACCGCTGCCATCAGCATTGACGGGTAAACGCGGCTAGGGTTGCCTTGCTTACGCATTATCGAAGACGTGCCTCTCGAGGTGAGGCGTCGACATGGCTTGCTTCTGCGTCGGAGGCTTGTCGAGCCTCGCCGTGAGGAATCTCCTCTGGCGTCGGATGGACGACGACGTCATGCTGCTCTTCGCGCTCTGTAACTGAGACGGTCAGACTACTGTGATAGAGGAACGCGCCTCCCGTCTGTAATGCGTGGATATGGCCGTCAACGAGCCAGGCTACGAGCATTCGGGCTTCGCACGGGTGCTGTACGAACGTCTGCGATGCTTCTCGAACAAATTCGAAATATCGAACTGTATGTTCTTCGGTACCTCTCCATCTCTCGATATAGCATCAGTGACAATACTCATCGGAGTATATTAGACTATTGGTTCGAGGCGTCTGAGCGGGATAACCACTCATTGGTTATTGTTGCTAGGTCGGCCAACGTAGAGCAGTTTATGCACGTTTTTCACGCGTGATCGCTATATACTGTCGAGTGTGCTGCATTTCGTTAGTAAGGCTGATAGGGTCTATGTCTCCTTGGGTATTGCCAGAACGTACCCTGGGTACAGTCCGGTATACCGGAACGTACTCTGCTAACTATCTGATATTGTTAGGGTTAAGGTTAGGGTTAGGGAGTAGGCGTAGACGACTCCCTAGACTCGTTAGTGGCGTAGGCGAGGTACGGTCCGGCATATTAGATAGTACCAGGATACGTTCCGCTATACCGGACCGTACCCAGGGTACGTTCTGGCGGTACCCAGGGAGACATAGACCCTGGCAGCGTTAGTAAGCAGCGTTTTTCGAACGCCCATATATCGCAACAATGGTTGTCTAGAGCTAACAAGTAATCACAGCAGGCGGATAGGTGAATTATAGTTCGAGGAATTCTCGTATTTCCTACCCCGACAGGCTCTTTGTCGAGTAGGACTTGATGCCTTCGGTCCATTTTTATGCAGCTGGCCTCCCTGCTCCGCTGCGTTGACATTTCCGGAGTGCTACCAGATAGCGACTGTGTAGCTGTTACCGACTGGGTCTTCGACTTGGGCCCGCCAATCAGCGGCATCGTTAAGTCGCGGTTTGACTGTTCAGAGTCGTTTGAAAGGCCGCTGTGTTGGGGCAGATGACTAAAATGTAAACGACATGAGGGAAAATGCATCAACGTCTCTCTTTCTCTCTCTCTCTCTCTCTCTCTCTCTCTCTCTCTCTCTCTCTCTCTCTCTCTCTCTCTCTCTTTTTCTCTTTCTCGCTATTTCGCTCTCTTTCTCTCTCTCTCTCGCTCTCTCGCTCTCTTTCTCTCTCTCTCTCTCTTTCTCTCTCTCGCGCGCGCGCGCGCGTGTGTGTGTGTGTGTGTGTGAGAGAGAGAGAGAGAGACCTTCGGTCGTTGTTTGATCCTCGTTGTCTTCTCCTTCCTTCTCGGCAACTTCTTTCGTATCTTTACTAGCCTGCCACCTGTTGTTAGTTAGAAAATAAGAGCTGATGAATTCCTCGTTGAGATGTTTGCTACGTAATTAGGACTAGTACAAAAGATGCCAGCCATTAATTGATTTCATTATGGTCAATAAACTGGCAGGTGAAGTCGCGCACAAATAAAATGACGTTAATCTATGTCATGACGCGGGTGTTTATATGTTTAGATGCAGGGTTTCATTGGGAGACTCCAATCTCGTAACCTTTGTACACTCGAATCCGCATAGATACATACCGGGGGTGAGGATCGAATCACTATCGGCCTTAGGTCACAATCAAAACTACAAAGAGATGGTATTCGTGGTGGTGCGGTCATTATGTTCTTCACATGACGTCGTCCATTTTCGTGATTGGTCGACGATAGCGGGTTAATTCAATCCGCAAATAAGGGCGAAATCGCGCGAGTTAGTTACCGCTGTGGTTCCCTATTCCCCACCATGGAGGATCAACGCGTTCTCATATGAGTTTAGCACGGCAACTATCTAATTAATTAATAATTATAAAATTGCACATGCTCAACAGTACCTCAGGTTGACATGTACGATGGGCGCCGTGCAGACCGGAGTGAAAATACGTTGTTAAAATTGTGTTGACGACTGTAACTGTAATTGTTGGCCGTTATCAGGGTTACATGTGTTATGGGTAGAAAATAATAGCCGTGTCGTTCTGCATCGTCTTTCTTCGTTACGGAACAGTATCTTACTTTTTGTTTTGACATTCGCGTCGAGAAATTCTAAGGCTCACGATGGATACAGGATGAAATTAAATATCGTGCGACGAAATGTTTCATTATCAATTAAAAACGGCCAAAAACACGCTTTCATGCGAATACCTATGAGGACAGTACATTATAGTGCCCATAAGGACTACAATATATATACATATACATACATACCATATACACACGCGCGCACGCACGCACGCACACACACACACACACACACACACACACTATAGGTAAAAAGCTCGTAAGAAGAGTTCGTAAATCGAAATCGTATTAAGGCATCACGATCGCACCTTGACAGTTTCCACTGCTACATCCGAGTTGAACAAGAGGCCATCTCTGTCGACCTTATACTGCTTGTAGAGCATCTGCAGCACGGGTGGGCATGGCATCTGGTGATCTAAGAGAGGAAATACCAGCGTTCCATCGATTATCTATCTACATGCTTCACGTCACACGGCGCGAGGTTGGCGGGTTTGATGGACGTAGCATTAATTAACTGCAATGGTAGAGAAACTGACGGAAACGAGCCCGCTAGTATAAGGGCGTCTGTATACGAAATCGAATAACCTGCATCAATACTACGATCATCACACGCAGGAGTGGTGCTCGAAGACACGGGTGGCGGGCGTGAGGCAGAACCTGCAGAGAAGGTGGAAATTAGGCAAACAGCACACGGTGAATAGAACCGTAGATGCGAGAGCGGGAGAGTGTTACAAAAAGAACACACAAGCTGAATAATGCGCAGTCATTAATGAAAAACGCGCTATGATCTCATGAAGGGATAATGGAGTTACGATAAAGGCGAATCCGCGGTAGGGGAAGCTATCGAAAAATGAGAAGACAAACTTGCAGAGATATCGTTGTGAGAAAAGTGATGTGTTGATGATGACGTGGAGGGGGTATATATTGAGGATGCTTAGACGTAAATGGAAATGTGTGAGGTGATATATTTAGGATGTTGTGACGTTGTCTAGGTGGCTGTAAGCTGATATATTGAGGATGTTATGATGTCATGTATATGTTTTGTGAGGTTCGATATTGACGAACGCTCTCACATATAGGAAGATTTATCGATAATATATCGAGGATGCTATGGTGTCATGTAGATTCTGTCTGAGGCGATGTGTGTGGACACACCGTCTATGATCTGCTTCTGATGCTGAATGATGCGATCTGCTAGTTGGTTGATCGTCTTCAACTTGACGATCTGCAGATCCTTGCCCTGTAGCTCGTGCTCTTTCAGCAGCTCTAGACTGCGCAGATCGTGTTCTGACACAGCGCAGTCAAGAAAATTGGCCTGTTCGTATGTTCCTTCAATCATATCATCCTTATACAGGTTTTCAATATAAGGTGGCAACACAGAAAGCCACGTCACGACTTATAGCCGAATCTATTTGGATGACAACTTGCGCTACCTAATTATGTCTACTGCTACGATGTATTTAGCGTAAATTCACGTTACATACAATGTATGTTAATGTACTGTACTGATTTTGCTGAGTTACATAACTTAGGCGAACAATCGAGGAAGCCTCTGTTAGCAACTGGATCTGAGCAAATCGAATGACGCAGACTCGACAAAAGATACTCTCGACCTCTAGCTGATTGACCTTGATGATGAGCTGCAGCAGCTCCCTCTGTTGGTCGGTGCTTGCTTTCCCCGGAAGAACCTGTGGTGTGCGTGTATTTCATTGGTCCGATTAACATAAAAGGTGCGCCATGGGCCACAACCGGGTGCAAACACTAGAGTAATGAGGTTTAATGAAAGTGCGTTTGCCAAAGAAACGACATCTTTTGAGTGCTGAAGATACTGATGTTGCAAAGGTGCTACATGCACGCAACCCCTCGCCGTCGTTTTATGCGATTACCTCTTCTAACCGCTCGGCATTTGTCTTGTTATTACTGAGTTGCTTCTCCAGCTTTACTTTGTACTGGGAAGCTTTCTGCAGCGCTTCGTTGAGCATCTTTAGTTGCTCCCTGGCATGGACCAGATCGCTCGGCTCTGAAACGTGACGCGAAATTACTACATGCACAACGGCGAATGGCGTAATTCTCTCGTGAGACTGTCGCAGTCGGTCGGTCGTGCATCTAGCAGCTAGCCTACTGCCCGTGACCGTGCACGCAATTACGACTATTATATAGTTATACTAGCGGGATACCCGGCATTGCCCGGGGAAATCAGTGGCGTTACTCAGTTGGTGACCGCTTGGTGGAAAGGAAAATACCCAACAAAAACTAACTATCTATCTATCCATGCATCCATCCATGCATCCATCCATCCATCCCATCCCATTCCATGCCATCCCATGCCATGCCATCCCATCGCACCGCATCCCATACCAAACCATCTCATCTCATCCCATCCCATCCCATCCCATCCCATCCCATCCCATCCCATCCCATCATGTATGTATGATATGTATGTATGTATGAGTATGTATGCTAATGTATTTAGTACTAAGGTATGTATGTATGTATGTATGTCATTATGTATGTAATGTAGTCTGTAATGTATGTGTGTGTTGTGTGTGTGTGTGTGCGTGCGTGCGTGCGTGCGTGCGTGCGTGCGTCGCGTGCGTGCGTGCGTGCGTGCCGTGGCTGCGTGCGTGCGTCGCGGCGTGCGTGCGTGTCGTGGTGCTATGCATGCCATCATGCATGTATGTCTGTATGCCACCTGAGCCCGGACCAACACCGCGAACGATCTGATGCAATTTTCAATAAGGCGAATCCTATACCCCGGGGTAGTGTTTTTTTTTAAAGTCTAAAAAGTAAAAATTGATCAAAAATTCTATTCACTCAATAATGGTGCTGACGTACAGATTAACGATCACGTACCGTATGACTCCATGGTGCCTAGCCTTCACGGCGCAGTGGCGTTAACTCGCTATAAGCATCCGTACTCCTACACCTCGGATTCACCGGTCGGAGCCCAGCTTGGGGAGAGCTATTCTTTGCCACCGCGCTTTTTTATAAGGTGCCTTTTTCTTCCTTTACCTATTACTTAGTATGTATCTATTATAGAGTTTTAAACTTTCTTAAGTATAAAATAAAAAAATTTATTATATTATTTTTATTTTAATGTCTTTATCTTTGATTTATTGAATTATTATCTACTGTTTGGGATGGGATGGGATGGCATGGCATAAGATGGCATGATGTGCATGGCATTGTGCATGGGAATGCGCATGGAATGGTCTGATGGCAATGGCATGGGATGGCATGGGACTGGCATGGCCTGTGATGGAATGGAATGGGATGGATGCGTGGGATTGGATGGTCATGGCATGGCAATGGATGCATGGCCCCTGCATGGCAGTGGATGGTATGCCGTCCTGGGATATGGGATGAGATCGGGATGGCATGAGATGGATGCGTNATATATATATATATATATATATATATATATATGTGTGTGTGTGTGTGTGCGTGCGTCGTGTGTGTGTGTGTGTGTGTGTGTGTGTGTGTGTGTGTGTGTGTGTGCGCGCGCGCACTCGCACACGCACACGCATGCACACGCGCTCGCATTTGCGGGCAGGTGTGACAATCTCTGGATAGTCAGGGGTACACCGTATGTCTACATGTACCTAACTGCAAATGTGAGAATTCATTGCGGGAGGCGACAGCCTGCAAAGCTAGGGGAAAATCTGCTAGGAACAGCAGGGGAAATATCTAGCATCAAAGCATTTCGAATTCAACGGTGCGCATGTGGAATGTAGAAATAACGTATGAGCGAAGGTAGATACCTGCATGTATGTAGGTATGCAATCTGAGAGAAGCACCCTAAAATGTTCCCACGGGCGGTTACTCGCAACTTACTCATTGATGATATAGCTGTGTGACTGTATCTCCCAGCTTAGGTGTAAACTGCTGCGGTTCACCTCCATCAAGTTGTTCCTTTAAAATAGCGAACACATTTAACACATGTACGTCCTCACGAATGTCCATTCTCTCTTGTCGCGCACTATCAAGCAGCCAGACGGAAAACACGCCAGTGTATGTATTGCCTCGTCCTTAATAAGAAACCATACGTCTTAGCGAGCCAGCACGTAAGCTGGCTCTAACTCGTTGTTGCTACCTAATCGAATTTGGCTGTCCTTTTCCTTATGGCTGCCTTATCTGTCGATCGTTTCTTCTATATTTTTCGTCTAATCTAATTTCGTTGATTGAAGCTCTTGCCTGGATTGAGCGTTTTGTCTTTTGTCTTTTCATTATTTTTACCTTCTAACCATTGCTTTCGGCCTGGCTTGCCTTACTTACTTATGAGAATTAGATATTATTATATTATTTACAGATAAATCGTAGAGGAGTATGCGGGCAGAAAGCAGTTACTAGTAGTTCTTTCTTCGAATGTTGCACATAAAAAATGCACAAGCAAGTGGCCGTATATTTAGCACGAACAGCTAGACTGTTTCCAAACGTCCCTGTATCGTGTCTGAGCCCATAACGCTGGCTCTCAGCGATTTGCGGAGTCAGTCTACAGACAGGCTAGATCTGCCATAGGTGATGCATAAGTGAGATTACATATAAATGTTACATTATTGGATTGGTAATTAATCTGTCGCTAAACCTAATGTCGATGTACAGTCGGGGAACAAATCACACTTTCAAGAAACAGCAAGCGTTCGTAATATAAAGTACTCGTAACAAATTGTCTGTCTATACAGTCTCCTTGCGCTCGCGCGGAATTTGGTGAGAACCTTTTTTAAAACATTAGTTCCTGATGTGATTAATTCGCCGCGTGTGAGCAGCACTAGCGGGTGGCGGGAATGAAGATGGCGCGCATGCGTGCCGAGTCAGTCAGTATACGAACCGCCTCACCTGATGTCCAGCTGCTCTTTAAAGGTCGCCAGCAGCTGATGACGAAGCCATTTCATCTCCGTTTCCGACTCCCTTCTCGAGGCTTCCATCACCTCGCCTGCGAAAATCAACGTAATGTTATCGCGACGGGTTACCACCTACTTGCGCATTTACGCTGTACGAAACCAATGATGTGTATTTATTAGTTGAACGACAGCGGATCAATAGCATCAGGAGTAGATAATAGGGATTATTATCTACTATTATAATCTATATATATATATATAGATATATATATATATAGATATTATATATATATATATAGATATAGATATTATATATATCTATATTATTATCCCTATTATCTACTCCTAATAGCATGTAATCGCGACTCTGACGGCGCAAAAAAGCGGTATCGTGTATCGTAACGGGATATGATTGCGATGAAAGAGACAATACTGATGCCCTCGTTCTACGATTGATTGACATCTTGGCTCCTACTCGAGTAACAATCTAATCAGCTTTTAGGGAAGCGAACGCGTTGATTTTTATTCAATTTGATCAAAGGTTGGTCGACTGCGCGCGTGACCAGGCGAAACGATGTTTTATTGATGCATGTCCTGAATAATTCAACGCGATGATGAGCGTGAAAATAAATCTTGTGTGATCTCCATGCACGCGCCATGACGTCCACGACGGTCCGAGAATCACATGCGGGATCAAAACATTTTAACATTTGCCTAGCAACAATAAGTAACTGACGTGCGCGGTACTTGAAAAGACCGGAATTAATTAGAACTCGCCATTAAGTTTCATCACCTGGTTTTTATGCGAATGTATGCTAACTTACTAACTTTGAAACTCCTGAGCACTTTTCAGCACGGAGGCAGAAGGATAGAAGCTCTGACTGTTATCGCAGATAACTATAATATTGTACCTTTTTCGCAGTATATAATATCAAGAGTCCATAATAGTCCATAGAGCCATTTTATTTTCACTCCCACATTTTTATCGCGCGCACGAGTTACGTGGTATATACTCACTGTGTAGATTTTGAATGCTGACCGCCGTGCGCGCCACCTTGTTCGACTCCTGCTCGTGCAGTTTAGAGCGCATGCGCGCGATCTCGTTCTGAAGTTCTTGGATGATGTTGTTATACTGCGTTATGTGGTGCGTCACGTCAACCACGTTTCTCCTCACCTGAGGGGGTACATGCGCTTGTCGTAACAGCTTGCAAACGACAGCTTGTAGCCTCCCTGCTACGTGGTATTTATTACGAGTATTCATTATATATGTGGGTTTCATCAGCTTGACTATATCTTAACTCCACAACTTCAATAACATACGCGTGTGTCGGTGGTGTGTGTGTGTGTGTGTGTGTGTGTGTGTGTGTGTGTGTGTGTGTGTGTGTGTGTGTGTG